TTCTTCGAAATGGTTATTCCCTGGAAGATTCTCTTGTAAATTGTCAAGTCGTGTTTTACTAAGCTCTCAGAGGATACTATTTCTCGTGATCGATCGAGACACAGGAGGGGTGGGGTTGAGGGGCAATGGGAAAATTCCAAAATCAGATGCAGGGTCCAAATCGGAGGGTGAATAAGCAGTCAATTACTATGGGGGTTAGGGTTGTATGAGCACCCCTTTTTTCATTAAACATGGCATCGCTACATACAATTCAGAAAAATTACAACTTGTTTTGTCCCTCCTGGGGAATCTTGACAACAACCTTGCCCCAGGTTTCCCTGCTCCCGAGCGCCTTGAGCGCATCTGGCACAGACTCGAGTCCGACAAACTCCTTGTCTGTGAACTCAGTTCCCTTGAACTTGCCCTCGGCAATCAACTTCATGATGCCCTCCCACACCTTGGGGACCGATCTAGTCTCCATCTTCTCATACATGCCCCAGTGAATACCGACCAAGCTGATATTCTTGAGCAAGACCTTGTTCATAGCCACCTTCTCGATAGTACCAGCGGCAAAGCCAACAATGAGAATGCGGCCGTTCCAAGCGATACACTTAGTACTCTTGTCAACCATGCCGACAGGGTCATAGACAATGTCAACACCACGGCCCTTGGGCGTCAATTTCTTGACAATCTGGGGCCAGTTCTCATCGCGGTAGTCAACGACATGATCAGCGCCAAAGGACTTGGCAACCTCCAGCTTGCGGGCAGTGCCCGCCGTGGCGATGACTGTCGCGCCGTATGCCTTGGCGACTTGAACAGCAGCAAGACCGACACCACCGGCAGCGGCGTGGACAAGAACGTAATCACCCGCCTTGACGCCAGCACGGAGGACGAGGGCGCCGTAGCTGGTGGGGGCTGTTACGAACAGACCGGAAGCCTGGTTGAAAGACCATCCCTTGGGTACGGGAAGCATGGAAACCTCCTTTGCGACACACTTGGTGGCATATGACCCCTGGGTGGCTCCGAAGACCTTGGAGCCGACGGGGAACTTGGGGTTCTTGGACCCGGAAGGCGTGGCCAGCACGACTCCGGCGAATTCAGCACCAGAAACCCATGGGAAAGCTATTGCGAGGATCAGCACGGTGTCTCCAAGTGATGGTGGGTGGTCTAATACATACGAGGTTGGTGCTGGTATTTGCCCTGAATTTGCAGGATATCAAAGAAGTTGGTTGCCGCGGCGTGGACCTCGATGAGGTACTCGTCTGCGGCAGGCTTGGGATCAGCAAGCTCTGTGACCTTGAGCTCACCAGGAGCCTATCAAGAACGTATTAGCAATGTGTTTTACTCTGAGACGAGCTTCAGATTGAGTGCCTATTACCTTGACATAGGCCGACACTTGGATTCCCTTCATGATTGTAGATGTAAGACGAACAGGCACGTGCACGGGGGGGCAAGGTGAGGTCGCGGGGGCAAACAGAAGCAAGATGAAGGAAGGGTATCCGAATGTAAGCAAGAAGTAGCATTAGAGTTGCTGTGGGAGGATGTTATATATATATAAAAGACACCAATGCTACGCTAAATACTTGATCAAAAAAGAACCTCGGAAATGGTCTTCCATCGCCGTCGTCCTGTCAATGGTCCCTGATTCATTGGTAAGACGGCTTTGCCAGGGTTCAGTTCGCGGGGCAGGGGCCGAACCGAGGTTGTGGATTCCGGCGGCTGATTGGCTGCACACCGTGGAGCTCTCGGTGAGGAAGCGACGTCGATCCATCTTATCGCCAGACGCGCCGTTGCTTGCGAACCTTGAAGACCAAACTTGGCTTTTTTCCAACTTTTGAACCACCACTTTTCGCGCAACTGTTCAACGAAGAAATTTGCACCCACCGCGGCGGCCCTCGCAATATCGAACGAAACCAACACAACAAGTTGCACAAAACAACAAAGTGACCAGAGCACAAACTACCAACAATAGATCGTCCATAACGGCCACTCCCTCACCACCACAATAATAACTGATCGCAAAGATCACCACCCACCATCACCATGGCGTTCCTCCCGCCCCCAGCCCAACAACTCCTAACCCACACACCCACCCCCTACACCTTCACCTTCACCCCCTTCCTCCAAAAAACCTACCAGCACTCCCTCCCCCCACCCAGCAGCAACCCCCCCTCAGGCGACCAACAACAATCCCAACCCAACAACAACAACACCGGCGGCTTCGGTTCCCTAGTCTGCAAACACTGGCTCCGCGGCCTCTGCAAAAAGGGCCTAACCTGCGAGTTCCTCCACGAGTACAACCTCCGCAAGATGCCCGAATGCAACTTCTTCGTCCGCAACGGCTACTGCTCCAACGGGGACGAGTGCCTCTACCTCCACATCGACCCCTCTTCCAAACTTCCCCCCTGCCCCCACTACGACCGCGGGTTCTGCCCCTTGGGGCCAAAATGCGACAAGAGACATTTAAAGAGAAACATATGTCTTTACTACCTCGCGGGGTTCTGCCCGGACGGGAAGCAGTGCAGGCAGGGGGCGCATCCAAGGTGGACGAGGGATGAGCTGATGGAGAAGCCTACTATGAAGGTGGAGAAGACGGCGGAGGAGCTGGAGCGGGAGGAGCAGGAGAAGGAGAGGCATAGGGAGCGGGAGAGGGAGAGGGATATGGAACGGCGGGCGGAGAGGGATAGGGAGCGGGGTGGGGATGGGGATAGGCATGATAGGGGGCATGACAAGGGGGGGAGGTTTGGGAA